TCCCTACAAACTTTCTTTTCTCTTTTTTACCTGCCTGTTGCCTCTCTTACATGTTTTGATGGTGTTCCTTGTTATTTGGGGTGACCAATATAAGTATTGTCAGTAGGAATATAGTAAGATTCCCTGAGGAAACATTATATAAAAAATGTTAAATTGCAGATAAATATTTCCATATGCCAGGAATTTGTCCACAGTTTTCCCTCTGCCATTAAAGTTTCCAGCGAGTGGACATTTGTATCTCTTTTTTGTCCCCAATACTCTCTTAATCCTACCTTCTTGCCAAGGTGTATGATTCAAAGATAGTTTCTCAAATTGCCAACAATTAAGTAGCAGGAAAGAAGTCTTGAAAAGAATGCAAGTTTGACTAGTTTGGTGTCAGCTGGCACTCTGCCCTAGACAAGGACTTCCTTCCCACACTTGCTGACTACCTGCTAACCACATCTCCAGGCTATCTGCCCCATGGCAAGGACCATATTTCATGTAAAAAAGGCAGTCACACCAAGTCAGGATTTCAACAAAAATATTGAATCTTGTATATCTATTTCATAATTCTCTATCTGCTCTGCCTGTGGCCAAATGCTTGTGTATACTTTTCTGCCTTTTTGAACCTTAAGAGAAAGCGAATAACAAACCCCAATAACCATGGGATGACAAGCAGAGGCAGACAAGATTTTAGTGTTGAGTCAACAGTGGTCAATCAACAGTTGAAAAGTTAAGATTCTGAGAAACAAACCCATCCCAGTTTAATGCACCACTAGTTAGTCACTTTAAGGAAACAGAACTAGGTAAGCAAAGCCTCTCTTCACTCATGAGTCTAAGGAATGCGTGAAGATATTCAGTCCTCACACCTCTCAAGAAAGACAAGGGTTCCAAGCTATGGCTGGAATGTTGCCAAGGAGAGCCACCCTGTAATGCTGCCAGACAAAGATGCCAGCACAGTGCTTCTTCAGGGAGTGGTATGTGGAGCTTCAAAGGCCCGGTCTCTGAGACTGCTGGAAGGGTATCACCAGTGCAGAGAATTCCCAGCAGAGAATGGTATGCACACTTCCCCAATGCTTCCCAGCTTCCCTCTGCTAAAAGCTGCTTTGGGAAGCACTGTCAACGCCCAGAATTCCTAGCATCCACTGGGAAGAAGCTGAGCCATTGCTGTAACTCTTCCAAAGCTGCAGTCACATACATATGTGAATATACCCACACGTACATGCCTACATTTGTACATGTATGTACACATCTGTATCTACCTTCATGTGCGTATACACAGAGATACATACTGATTCATTCGCGAATCCCTCACACTCCCTGTGGAACAGAAAAGTGCCGGTTCCCCAAAGCCCGAAGTCTTGCTAAATGGACGTCTCCACCCCGGCTGGGCTGTGCGGCCACTGTGACATCTCTGTCTTCACAACTGTTAATCCAGGCATTATGAGATTCCAAACCAGAGCTTCACAGATACATGCTTTGCTTGAACGGAAGCCGTGTGTTTGCATGGATGTAGTTCTTGAACTAAATTTCTGTAACTCTTGAGCCAGGGGGAAAAAAAAAAAAAAAAAAAAAAAAAACAACCAGTATGGGTGTTTCTCTTTTTCTCCACACTCCCAAATAAAACATGCCCACAGAACACTTTGGCATTCCCTTTTGTTGAGATTTTAATCAGATCCTGCTTTGTTATTTTTCCCTAGCTAAACACTTGCCCTGAGAATAAATATTTTGAAAAATATTTGTAAATACGGTCGCTATTACATGATTTTAAGAAAGCGGGGGGCTTCCCTGGTGGCGCAGTGGTTGAGAGTCCGCCTGCCGATGCGGGAGACACGGGTTCGTGCCCCGTTCCGGGAGGATCCCACATGCCGCGGAGTGGCTGGGCCCGTGAGCCATGGCCGCTGAGCCTGCGCGTCCGGAGCCTGTGCTCCGCAACGGGAGAGACCACAACAGTGAGAAGCCCACACACCGCAAAAAAAAAAAAAAAAAGGGGGGGGGGGAATATTCTAAATACAATATTCTTGCTCATAAGTACCAAGTACTTATATTCTGTTGACTATTAATTTGGCGATCACTGTATCTTTTACACCTTTTGCCTTGACCTTGACAAGGTCTTACTTGCAAAAGAACAGAGTCCTATGCCTTGGCATGTACAAAAATTTTTTAGAAGTTTCACACATTTCAATGCTAGCATATACAAAATAGGAGTGCTTTGTGTGCAAATCTGAGTAAACACAAATTTATTACAAGGGTCAAAGTTGTGAAAAACAAATAGGGGCAGGAAAAAGAGATTCTGATGTGGTGAAACCACTGGTTATCATTCCCTAAAGAAACTTAAATTCTTAAGAAGAGATACACAGTAATTTCAGCTTCAATTACTGGAATTTTTTTTAGCATGTTTAGCAGCTGTACACTGGAAATGACTGCCATGTGCTGTGGATACTGGCACAGTCCCTCATGTAGATCGAGAAGGTAGAAGGATACTTCCTGGGCCTACTTTACCAATGGCACAAGTGGGAGTCAACATTCAGATGGGACCAGTCCTTGTCTTTCAATATCACCAACTCTCAGCACTGTACCCATCTTTGCCAGGAGTGTTAACAGCTGCCTTCTAGAGGTGACTGTCTTCCAGGCTGATGACATTTGACCCCTCTAAGACAGAAGTGCAGAGCAGAAGCTGCTTGAATTTCGCAGCCACTATGAACGAAGCAGCCAACCTTGCTGACACTAGGAACTGAAAATTTATCAGCAAAACGCCAATTTTGCTACCCACATCCCCTATCAGCCCACTCAATGCAATATTTTTCTATTTTGTTCTCAGTGTTTGAGAACAAACTAGGAAAATATCCAATTCCCCAAAATAAGATGCTAAATCAAATATGTACTTATCTGATAACAGTGTTCTTAAACTTTGAAGAAGATACAATTCCACTAGGGGGAGCAAGACGGTAATTTGTTACCTGGGAGATAAGAGTAAATGTTCAGGTTGCGTAATAAGGTAGCTGGAGGATCCACTTTGTTCAAGACATAAAAGAACTTAAGCTTCTGAGAGAGCACTTAGTAGTAAGTAAACACAAACATCATTATACCCAAAAACAAAAATTTTAAAACCTTTCCTATTGATTCCTGAGGGTCCAGGTTTTTAGGAAGTAAGAATAAAGCCATCTAAAACCCAGGTGTTAAAGAATTATTTTCATCATGTGCAAAACCCAATTCAATTATTTCCTCAATTTCACTTTTAAAAAGTGCTACTAGTGGCATCAGATATGCCACTGGCTTAGGAATAAAGCCCATCAGGGGTTCTATGAAGAAAGCACAGCTGGTTTAGAGGATCCACTCCATCCTGTCCTGCAATGA